TCATGAACTATGTCTATTAAAAACACAAAACTCCGATTTACAAAAAAGTTAATTAATTATTGTCATTACGCAGAATTGTGAACTTAAATTTCAAATAAGCTAATCATAATGGATCTCGAAAATCAACTATTTAAGAAAAAGATAACTTTTTTATTAAATAAATTTCTAAAATTTTTTCAATTATGAATGGGAATTCGATATTTAATAGTACTAAAATTATCCGATTAAAGACGTTAATAATTTAAAAAAATTCATAATTTTATAATTACAACAATTGAATTTCAAAAATGTCAAATAATTTTATACACTATAATATTTTGTTTTTCCATGTAGAATATTAACTTTGACAAAATTATTTTGGTATTCACAATGGAATATAAAGGATTAGCATAAATTGCAATTTAGTTTCAATTCAATAGATATTTCAAATATTCCTGTGTAATAATATATTCATAGATACATTGTACATGTATGTATAATGTGTATGTATTATACATGTATGAATAATGTATAATAATATGCTTGCACACAAAATGGAATGGCGTGTGAAATTAAAGAGATAAAAATGTGGAAAATAAAATTTTATAAAATAGTAAAATTTAACGATAATAGCACCCTAAAATTAGGATTTTCTAAAAACTTTTTCATATTTAAACGATTTTGTCATATCACGCAGATTTTATCATAGCATACAAAATGTACGTATACTCTATAAGCAAAATACTCGCTTTAACGTTTATTTAATTGTTTTAGCACTTGCATATTACTAGATGTTAGATAAAATATACAAAAATTTAAAAAATATATATCTGTTAGTTGATGGTTCTTCTGTTTCATTTGTATTCGTGTGTTTCTGTCTATATGTCCGTGCCTGTCTGTTCGTCTGTCATTAAAGATAGAAAAATCATGTTTTGCATACACAAAAAGATCTTAGTGGAAAAGTAGATAGCTTATAGTTACTCTTATCTCAGCTCAAGTACAAATTGTGCCAAATTTCACGTTTTAGCAGGACGCCCAGTCCAAATCACAGCTTAATTCTACAAACCAAAAAAAAAAAAACTTTTAAAATCTGTAAAGCCCAACAAAAATTTACATTATTTTTAAGAATACATTTAACAAACATATACAATAAAAGAGCATAGTTTTTTCACAATAATATTAGCTTACCATTATTATAAATTTTATTAGAAAAGTTACTGCAGTTTCTATTTTTGTAGATTAGAAGTTTTATATATTAACGTATAATGGGATGTAATCATTGTGAAAATGTAGACAAAAAAAATTTGAACTAATTCTTACAAATCCGTTAAAAGAAAAGTTTTAATAATTTAATTACGAGTTTTGCAAATTTTACTATGTATGCACATTAACATAGCAGAGCTTCTAATGAATATTAGAGAGAATTATAATAAAACTTTGCAACTATAACAGGCTAATTTAAAAACTCACAATGTATTACAAATACCATTATTATGAGTTCCATTAATTTATTTCTTTTCGAACAAAATTCAAAACTTTTTGTGAAAAATAAGGAAAAAGTGGTTCCAGATCAAATCCACACATGAAATCATATTTATAGAGAAAATTTTATTATACAAGTATGGCCATAGTTTAAATTTAAATATCAATTTAGTGACAGGTTCAATGCTTTTTCTTGTGAAAAGAAAAAAATTGAGTTAAATAAAAATCCGGATAAAGCTGGTTAAATTTGAATGTTCGAAGAGTATGTTATAAATTTATCAACTCTAAAAATTAGCCGACTAATTATCCGAAACGCTAAGAAATTGACAACTAAGACATACTTACATGTGCATGTTATATGTTTTTGATGAGACGACATGTATTTGGATTCGATCGCGGGCTTGATTTGAGTAGCTGCCATACAATTCTAAAAATAACCTATTCATAATTTTCAAATTATATAAATCATATCATAATCCACTTTTTCAAAAACGAATTTAATAAGTTCTACAACATCATATTTGAACGAATTTCCGAAACTATAAAAGTTCACATAAACCAAGTACTAGTTTTGTGGTGTATTTGAGGAAATTTACTGGTATATTAGATTGTATTAGTTGGTTCATTTGTCACTAAAATTTTTAAAAACAATTATATAGTATTAAGAATATTAAACCATTATAACTATCTAAACTAGTTTATTTATCGGGCCACCAATCCAAACAACATGTCGGTAGCGACTCTGTAAATATTTTTCAGCGAGATATAATTACAAGTCTGGCAAAACTTTCGTGCGGGTCAACTCTATTTCTTCTCATTTTTATAAAATATTTAAAAGCACTTGCTATTTAACAAAAAACGCGCAACCGCCAAGTAGGCAGACACACAGGTACGAATAACCACCATATCCTTTTAAATTATTATTAGAAATAAATATTATGTAATTATGTAAGTTGACATTAAAATTTTTGTTTTGATCTAATGTCAGGATACCAAATAAGTCCGACCTGATCAAATTCAATCTTGCTATCTCTTTAAATATATGGGTGATTTAGAACCCCCTAAAAGTAAAATATATTCGTTGCATCTTCAACTTTCAGAGATTAAGGAAACGAAAAAAAATTATGAATAACAAGTATACCCTTATGTTTTGTAAAAATGACGAATTTGCAAAGTTTAAGACGAGAACAGAGAAAATGTTGCTTTAAACAAACTTGTTAAAAAGTAAATTATGTACAAATTTAATTTTAACGTAAAAACTAAAAACGTAATTTCGAACTTTTTTTGAAAGACAAACTTGTCCAAGGAATATTAAAAATTATATTCATAAATTGAGTACCGTGTAGGTGCCTAACTGTAGCTGCCAATATAGTCAACATTTTTATAATTTCCATCGCGATATCGTTGCATATATTCCTTACTTATATCCTTTGTTAAATAACATGTTACAAAATAAAGATAAACCAAAATTTTGAATATATAAAAAATTAGTGCATACTTTATGTTTTTTTACCTTTAATGTCTTTACTACTCTTTAAAATACTTAAAAAATTTGAATTCATAAGCATAAAATCAAAATATTTTATTATAATTCCAATTGTTAATACATATTTGCATATATACATACACAGTTAACTAATACAGATGTGCAAAAGTACTTCAAAAAAATGTTGCTATTGGAAAATAATAACAGACTAAAGCTTTTGTTTCTATTCTTATCCTGCGTTTTTTTGATTATGGTCCATATTTTTTAATATTAAGATTTTGACTTGTAATTGACGTTGAGAAATTTATAGAAGCTTCAACTCCCACAACTTAACACTAAAAGTACATTTCACGGATCAGCATCCCCATAATAAAATCTGATTACAAAATAGTCTTTATAAATTTTTTATGTTGAAAAGAAATTCAATATCCTTTCTCGTCATTATATTATTGAACGATAATCTAACTTAGGCTACACATAAACATCCACAAATTCATTAACATTATGTTACTGCTACCTTTTGCCTAGATCAAAATTTACTTACACTAGAAAACTACTCATATGTATATAAGATTTTTCCTACTTATACTATGATAAAAATTTTTATTTATTTCGTTATTCCTTTCGAACTTATTTATAGCGTAATACTGTAGAGTGTTTTCATGAAAGTGACACAAAATACTTAATAATTTGTTATATACCTTATTACTATATTATATTCCACAGTGATAATAACAACGTCTTGATAATATTTATGCAAAAAAATTATGCTTAAGTCGCATTTATATATTCTTTTTTTTTTTTGTGCATCCTTACATTTAAATATTAATGTAATACATTCTTATAAATTATATCCCATCTACATAATAACGTATAACAGAAATATTACACTAGAAAAAAGAACAGGAACAGAAATCTACACACTACATTTTCAAAACTTCCGCAAAGAAGAAAAAAATTCAAATTATATAATATTAGGTATGTAGGTTGGTACATACAATTCAAATAGGTATATGTATGTGTTCACATATAAGTATGCACACAATAAAAATATTTCCATAAGAATGCAATAAATTCAGATAACATAGAGAATATAAAAATTTCCATAATATTCTTAGAACAAAAGAGAAAACAAACGCACAAATACTTTAATGGTATTTTAGTTAAAACCAAAAATGAGGTTATTATGAGCCACCATTTTTTTTTAAACAATAGAAAATTTATATGTATGTTTAACGGGAATTGAATATTTTTTTTTTTGCTCATTTTATGCCATTTTATATTTATTATAACTGTAATAGATCTATTTATAAAAATGAAAGTCATTTTGCATTTTCTATAGGTTTTTTAAATTTTTTTGTTTTTATTTATAAAAGTTTTCATAGAATTTCAGGAACTTTTACAACCTCCATTATACATAAAATAACAGTAAATAATGCAATTTTTTCATTTCCATATTTTGTAAATAATGTTAGCAATATTTTAATAATAATTATTATGTTGCAATTCTGAAATGAAAATGAGAAAGTTACGTTGATTTAAAATTTCATTTAAAAAAAAAACAAAACCAAAAATGGAAAATGGAAAATGTTATTTTTTGCTTATTACAAAGTTAAAAAACATTTTATAACGAGTTTCAACATTTTTCTATTTTACTTTTCAAATATTTTCGTTAGAAACTTTTGTTTAAAATTATTTCCTATTTCAAAAAGGATTTTTTGTTTTTTTTTTTTTCAAATATGCAAAAATAAACAGGACATAAAAAAGTTTTTCTATTAAAATATTTCATTTTCAAATGGAAAATATTTTTGTATACCTTACCATTTTACTTTTTATAAAAGTTTATACCATATGTTTCGGTCAGTCAGTATAAAAATATAGTAACTTTATTAAAAAGTTATTACAAATGGTTTATAATTGTATTGTGCGCTGATGGCGGGGGAGAGGGGGGCCGGCTTGTTTTAAAAATAAATCTCAAAAATTATAATGCAATTTATCATATTCAAAGAAGAAGATTTAAAATTTATTTATTTAAAAAATTTTTGTTTTACAGAAAAAGACTGAATTGTAAGAGTTTTAAATGGTATTTGGATAATATTTATCCGGAACTTTTTATACCTGGTGAAGCACTAGCATCAGGAGAGGTAAGTTTTATTAGTAAAAATTGGTTTAGTAATGGTTTTGTTTGAATATCATTATTTTTGGTTTGGTTATTGTAAAATGGATTATTTTTGTGTATGAAATTTTAATTTTGCATTGAAGATATTTGTATGTACTCAAAAAGGGATTTGTTTTTAAAAATTGACGTATAAAAAATAATTTTTGGAAAACATTAATTGAATTAATTAATTATTATAATTTGTATACAAAAAGATCCGAATATTAATTGGATCTAATTTTAATTGATTATCTACCCAATTTTAGTTATCTGACTGAATTTTTTTCAAAATTATGACATTACTTGTAATTTTATAACTAAAAAACACTGCTTTATGACCGTTTAACAGAGTTTTCGTTGAAAATTAGAAAAATATCTCAGAATTATTAAAAACTCATGTTTACCCAGTACAAAATTTCGATTTCATACACATACAATAATTATTTTACGATATTTGACTGACTCATAATAATATTGATATTTTCTTTTAAATATAAAATACAAATTACAATTTCTTTTTAACAAATAAATTGAATTAATTTAAAAAAAAAAAACTATAAAATATCATAATTTCAAATTAATTAAATTTCGAAATTATTTAAAATATAAAAAAATGTAACAAATTATTTACGAAATCACAAAAATCCGAAAATTGAAAATATTTCAAAAATCAAACAAAAAAAAAAAAAACAAAATAGATTCGTAATCTTGGATATGGCGGTCGCACATGTTTGGATTCACCAGCACGTAAACGTGATTTAAAGAAACCAGTTGAATTATATCCGTGCCATGGACAAGGAGGACATCAGGTTAAATTTCAATTAAAAAATTTTTTATTATGTCAAATTATCTTTATTATTATTATTTATTTAATTATTATTTTAAAACAAAAGAACAATATAATAAGAAAACACAAACACAACAACAAAAACACACATTGGTGAAAAATGAAAAAAAAAAGTTTAAGTAAGAATAACAACAACACAAAAAATGACAAAAGCAGTAAATTTTTGAAACAAACAAAATGCTGGCAACACTCTAATCTATTTCAATAATCCGTTGAAAAGTAAAACTGCGACCGCCACAAACTCTTTTTAAAACAAAGATGAAAATTTATAAAAAATCAAAAAATCAAAAATAAAAAAAATTCACAGTTATTTCTTTCTTCCTTATATTACTATAATTTTATTAATTTTTCATTTTAGTTTCTCTTATTATTTAAAAAAAAAAATAAAAATAAAAACATAAAAATTTCAAAAAAATTTTACAATTCGTTTTAGGGAAGGTGAAGTTTTTTTTTTGTTTCTTTAAGTTTCTTTAGCACCAATTATTATTAATCCAGTGAAATGAAAGCAAATGTACACCATATTTTCTTAAGAACTTGGAACAAACTGAATTTTTGCATGTGATTTCATTGAATTCTTATAAATATACTTATATAACAAAAATTAATGTAGTAAGAATTCTGTGGAAGAAAATTTTTATTTTTTATAAAGAAAGTTTTAAATTTTAATGTGGAAATTGTATAAAAGAACTTAAACCGAAAATTTCAAGCTGTTACTTATTTAAATGAGCATTTTATTTTTTTAAAGAAATTCTTTAAAAGGAAATTAGATTTCAGTCAAATTATCTGGAAAAAAATTATTATTAAATTGCTTGTAATGGTAACTGGAAATTAACGCAATCTTTTGGATTTCTTTATTTTTACAATGAAATTTTCTTTTTGCGGCACCGCCAAAAATTCAGTTTGCTCATTTTCGTTACCATATTTAAGAAAAGTGGTTTTAATTTTTTTCGTCTATTGAAAAAAAAAAAAATGTTTAGGTTAATTATTATTTTTAGTAGGTACATAATATATTTGTCTCTTTCTATCTTCTTTCTTTCTTATTAATCTATCTTTCTTATTTTTCAATTAAATTTAATTATAAAATAAAAAACTTCACAAAATTATTTCACAAAACATTTTGTAAAAAAAAAAACACATCGATTCGATCAATCCTCTTACAGATAGCAAATGACTATACAAATATGTGTATCGATTCCGCTAATAAACCTGATGATGAAATAACAACGGTTGGTCCGTATGAATGTCACGGACAAGGTGGAAATCAGGTATTTTTTTTTGTTTTTGTTTCATTTTACTTTTTCTATGTTCCTTTTTTTTTTTAACAAAAAATAATTTGTTTTCAATAACAATCGAATAAAACTAACTGAAATGTCAAAGTGACATTCAAATTTTTTCAACCATTTTTTTTTTATTTGTTTAAATCTCATATTATTCAAATGTCGAAATTTCAATTTTTTTTGGGAATTGATTATGTTTATTTGTTTTTCGGGCTTTTGTTTCGGGGCGGAACAAAACATCTAAAAATGCTAACCATTCTTTTTTTCATTTAACATTTTTTTTTATGTTATGTAAAATAATCAAAAATTTCCATTATTTGTTTTGTGTGGCTATTAATGCTTTTTCAAATGGTTCAATAAAAGAGTGTATATATATATATATATATAATTTGATGAAAAAATTTTTGAAAAAGCTCTAAATTCGATATTTAAAATCATTGCTTTGTACAATTTTTTCGTTTGAACAAAATTTTGATAATTTCGCTTACACCTAAATTTATGCAATTTTTTTGAATTAAAGACATTTTGTACATTGTATAAATAAATTTATGATTGTTCTTCAAATTTGCTTTTGTAAATTGAGAGATTTTGTATTTTTGCAAATGGTGGGGGGTAAAAATTGTTTTGCTTTCTTTCCAAATTTTTATATAGCTAATATTTGGCAAATATAACTAGTAAAAAAGATTTTTTAAATTTCTAAACACAATTGTTTTAATTAATTAATAATATCAAAATCATAAACATTGCAAATTTTAATTTGAAAACTCAAATTTTAAATAATTTGTATAAATAAAACAATTGTACGGCCTCCATTTAAAATTACGTGAACCAAGAAATTTGAATAACACTATCCTTGTTAAAATTCGAATTTTTCATTATTAAAAATATGCAATTAATTTCGAAATCATGAACAATTTTCGAGAATTTTAATTTGTGAGTTTCTCATTGCAATTTGATTTTGAACTTAAAAAAAAATTTGTGAATTAAACTTGGCTTAAGAAAGTCCTTTAACAATGTTCATATATTTCAAATTGTTAAATAAATTCGGATAGAATGAAATTTTGTAACTTACTTCTGTACCATCATTATTTTACTGTTTACGTGCAATTTAATAATCAATATTATTATTGCTTATGTGCACAATTTTCATGCAATTTCTTTACTAAAATACGTGATAATTTCTAACTGCAGTAAAATTAACTGATTTTGTTTTTGTTTAGTTTTTAATTTAAAATTTACGTGCTCAATTATTTTTTAAATAAATTTTTTTTTGTAGATTTTTTTTATTTTGTCTTAACAATTCATTCCAACAATTAATTTTTGCTTCAAATTCTTTACTTTTCATGTGTTCTTTTCCTCGTTCTTATTTTCCTGATATAACATAGTTTTTTAATTTCTTTTTCTTTCGAATTTATTACAATTCTACTCACTTGTATCCTTTCAAAAAAAAAATATACAATTTCAACAAACAATACAAATAAACAAAAATTAAACAATTTAAATAAAATGCTTCAAATATTTCACATATTTTGGCAGATATGGAAAAGTGCATGTCTAGTTTTGATGCTGGCAGCTGGGTAAAAGGATAATTGGTGTATTTTATTTTTAATTTTTCTTTTTTAATTTATTTTTATTTACAAACATTTATAAATTTTTTTTTATTTAATTTCTAATTGGTATTTTTTTTTAATTGGTTTTAAAATATTACTTTTTTTGTTAGTTTTCTATTTTAAATATAATTTATCAGTTTTTTAATTCTTACTTCCTTAACTATATAATATTGGTTTAAGTCGACTTCCAGATAATTATTTTTGGTCTTGGTTTACTAAGTATAATATTATTATTGTTATATTTGAAAAATTTTTTCTTTTGAAATATGAAAGCCTATATATGTGTAATAAACTCAATATACGTGGTCTCGGTGCACTATATCACCGGTTGTACAAATCTGCAATCTACAATTTGTCATAAATTCCGAACATAGTAATTCTATACTAATATCAACAAAATACGACATTATTAATTAATATTATTTAAATAATCACGTCAGAAAAAAGACAGAAAAATTGGACTTGAAAATATTTCATAACGAAACAAAAACGTGAGTGTTCCAAGTTGTCAATTCAAAAGTTTTTGAAAGAAAAGTGGATTCAAAGTTATTTATTTTCATTCTACACTTTTAAAACTTTCTATTAAATTGGATAATTTCGATATGGATTTAAAATTAGAAAGGAAACACTCTAACATATTTTAAGATTTCTCTAAACGTAAAGGTATTTCAAGGTATGTCTCTTTTGTGCCCACATTGGCTGATATTCTTTTAATGCAACTTTATTTGTAAAAATTGTTAGTAGCGTAATCTCTACTCTGCTCTAAAAAATACAAATACTTAAATAAAATCACGATCCAATAAAAATATTATTATTTTTAGATGAATTGTCGCAAAAGTGGCTAAATGTGTCCTAAAAATGAAAATTGTAAAACTTTTGGCATAATATTTGCAATATAAACTGGCAACTAAAACAAGCTAATAGCTCTAAAATTTTTCAAAGAATCAGAAAAATCTGACAGAAAATCTGATAATATTTGCATTTTTGCTGAAATTCTTTATTTTTTTCCGTAAAATTTATTCTGATATAAGTTTTTCATTATAAATCAGATTTTCATTAGATTCTGATTTAATTGAAGACGTAATCTAATGTGCAACAGGCACGAGGACAGCATCCTCGGTTTGGGATTAACTTTGTGGAAAATGATTTAATAAGCAGTTTTTATTAATTAACTTGCAATTTTTAGTAAATAGTCTTGGTACATACCTACATAGATATATATATCCCAGTATCTAATTATTATTTATTTAAATAATTGTTCTGAGTTTATTATCTTAAGGTTCTTCTATTACTTGAAGTTCTCCGCGAATTGTCAAAAAATATTATTAAAATTTTTCTAGTATAACAAAATTTTTTTGTAAATTAATTAAATTATATATAACATTATACTTAGTACAACCTAACATATTATTAAATATAACAGATTTTATTAAATTTTAATTTAATTTTTAATTTTATTAAATTAAATTTTTAAATAACAAAAAAAAAATAAAGAGTTTGTGGCAACTTAAAAAATTCAACCAAATTTTTTTTTACTAAAAATAAAATTACTGAAAAACAAAAACAACAATTTTTCTAGTTTAATTTTATTAATTGAAATAACAAAATTTTACCACTTTTTTTTTTGTTTTTAACATTTTGTGTTTAATTTTGAAAATCTAATATTTTTTTTTGTACAGTTAGAATTAATTTAATATTTAAAATGAAAGAGAAAAACCAATTTTTTTTTTCTTTAATAAATTTAAGAAATTTGCGCTTTACATAACACCTATTCTAAGTAGAATATTGGCATTTTTGAACATAGAACATTATTCCGCGTTTTTAAAGCTATAAATTTGGTTTTTAATTGGTATTTGAAAAAAAAAAAAATTTCAAGCTTTAATATCGCCAGTAAAAGAAAGAAAATCATTATGGAGATTTGTTTTGGAAAAAATTTTAAAACTGTAAAAAAATTCATATAATGCCATAGTATTCATAATGCAAAATTTTGTATAAAATATTAATCAAACATACATAACACGTTTACAGACAATTTTTTTTTTCTTATTTTACTTTTTAATTTACTTTTTAAATCA